GTACTTTTATTCATAAAATTGTCCAAGTAACCTTAATTTGTTGAAAAATATTGAAAAATATCTGTCATTTCAAAGTTTTGGGGTGTGGACCATCGGGGGTAGTCCGTTCCTGACTTTGTAGCAAAACAACTGACTCCTGCATGAAAGCTCATCGAAGGAATTCATTTGTTTAGTCAATTACCAAAATTTGGATGATTTTGAATATTCACTTGAAAAGTTATCAAAGAAAAACATTTTTCATTTTGTAACTTCGAGGGCCCGTAACTTGGTTACGAAGGATTTTAGGAAAAAAAGTTATATGAAGTACTGGTGATATTTTGACCTCATCTATACATTCCCGAGAGGAAAAGAGGAAGTCCAGAGACACCCTGTATATCGCAACAGATCATCTCCATTTGGAAAAACTATCTGAAGGGGTTGTACCACAGAGAACGACTACAACTTGTCAAATGTAGGAAGAGCTTTCTGAGTTCCGTTATGGTCCCGCCCTCTAGATCTGTTTTCGTTAGAAGACAGTGAGAGTTGAAGGAGAGAGATAAGAGAGAGGGAGAAATGTTTATCAAGTCTCTTCCTTGATGTGAAAAGCTGTACTATTGTTGTTAGACTAAGTTAGCCAGCCATATAGCTCTAAAGTAATCATGCCAACTAATAATCCGGTGTCGGGCGCAGGAAGTTGCTGAATATAATTAATTTTTCTAATCGGCAACAGCTCCGTTAATATAATTCGAGTCTCGAAGGTCGGAGGAAAGGTAAACCTCGAGGTGAGTAGGTAGATAAGGTGGATGTCATGCGCTCCTTGAATATGCATGTTTCAGATGTTTGACGAATATTTCCGCGTTGTTAGTCGGAACTTGACATAAGCGTACCGTCGCGAGGTTGTTGAAAGTTTTTTCTTCAAAAATTGAATTGTTTTCAACGTTAATTTTACACAGAATGTTTCACAGTCCAATCAATGAAGGTAAAGTACGGTGATACTGTATAATTTTGACAAACACTGGGAACAGATTTGCCATTAAAAGTTGGATGGAGGTTCTACTTACGCTTTAATTCAAAGTTAACTACGGAACACTAAGCGACTGTATTCCAAACGGAAATATATGCTATTGTGTGCGGAGAGGTTGGTAGAATCCAATATTACACACAAGTCAATCAAATTTTCTCGGACAGTCAAGCGGCGTTGTGGAGGCTCTTGGCTCCTACTGAACAACGTCCTGAATGGGAACCAAATTGCCAAAAACGACTCTCCTCAATAGGAAGACTTAATAAATTGTCTCTGGTCTGGATTCCTGGCCATACTGGACCAGAATCTGTCATTGGCGTCGCTTTAGGTTTTGCTAAACAAACATTGAACACGTGGATGGCAAGAAAATTTAAAGACTTAACCTAACCTAACCTAACTATGGAACCCTAGGTGTCGAAAACTTAACCGAGTTCATCAGCCGCTTGGGTAACTGCTTTGAAAAGAAATGCTCCATCCAGTATCGTTCTGTTACACTCCAAACTCAAAAAGTTTACGGCCTTCCTGAATGTCGGGGGAAATGCAACCATGCAACGGACGATTTGGGATGCAAACTACTATGGAGTGGGAGGGACAAGGGGGCAAATTCCCAGGAGCCCAGACCCAGTAGAGGCCCGGCTCAGGCAACAACCATTAAAACTGTGTAGTCCATAAATATTTCTAACGACAGCAGTCTACTTGTATTCATCACTCGATTTTATTGGCCAAATTAGATTTCTATGGAGTGAGAGGTGTCTGTCTGGACATGATTAAGTCATACCTTAACGAAAGATATCAAATTGTTGATCTAGGAAGAAAAATATTAAGAGGAATGCCACAAGGGTCAATATTGGGGCCACTTCTGTTTCTAATATATATCAACGACCTACCTCACGTGATGAACTCGTCAGGCATAGAAACTATATTGTATGCAGATGATGCAACCTTGGGCAAAAAAATATATAAAATAGATGATCCTCATATGATCCATACTGACATATTAGAGAAAGCTCGATCATGGTTCACACCAAATGACTTGATTCTCGATGAACAAAAAACAGAAACTCTAACTTTTGAAACAATTTGCTTAAATCGAGATAACAAAAATTCTACCAAATTTTTGGGAGTACAAATAGATTCCAACCTGAAATGGATAGACCACATAAATAACATGTGTAGTAAACTTAGTAAGACGGTTTTTGCTATCAGAAAAATAAAAAAATTGGTAAATCAAAGTGCGGCACTTGCAACATATTCTCTTTTTCATTCAGTCCTTAGGTATAGTATAATCAATTGGAATAATGCATCAAAGGTACATCTTAATAGAATATTTGTCATTCAAAAATCTGCAGTAAGAAGCATAATCTCTGCCAATTACGATGAAAAGTGTCGACCAATATTTGTAAAACTTGAAATAATGACCCTATATTCAGTTATTGTCTATGAAAATCTGCTTCTTGTTCAACAAAACTTGTTGAATGAAGTTGCTCACAAGGATATACACCAACATGATACAAGAAATAAATCAAACCTTATTCCTACAGCTAATAGGTTGAAAAGAACAGATAATATAGGAATTAAGCTATACAATGCTTTATCTGCCGAATTTCGTAACTTGCCATTTAGAAGATTCAAAAACTTATTGAAGAAAATATTAACCAAACATCCTTTATATGAAATTGGATCAATTTTTCGAAGTTATCCAAGAAGAAAGACACTTTTGTGGTCACCTCCCGAACTTTTCTCAGATTTGAATATATATAATACGTTAGCTATGTTTTTATAATTTGTAAAAGCTCATGGCTTTACATTTTAGTCAATTCTTATAAGATTGGAATTTTATCTCGTGAACTTGTTTTTTTTTGTAAATCTAATTTATCTGCAAGCATTTTTTAAAAACTATATTGACAAATCTTACCCTCTCAAACCTATTTTAGAAATTGTATTGACGTGTCTAAAAACTGTGTGTTTCTTGAGTCAGGATGGTTCAATTTACGAACCGCACATCCTCTTCTTGATCCCGGGATCATCCTCTTTAGGACTAGAGGTGGTGGTATCTACCCCCAGGGCAAAAGCAATCACCAGTAAAGGGTCAGCTTTGAAGTAGAGGGCGAATAGAACGTACAAGAGTTTGCTACAAGGTATATTCTTCATGAAGCAAGTATGAACCTTTTGTGGCAAGATATTCCCTGGCATTTTGATTTTCGGATTGACACAGTTGGTACCGGTAAATGCCTGCCAGAAAACACCTACTTCCCTGACTTGTACCACAGTGGACATTTGATTATATCCGACACACATTCATGCAAGATATCTCACAGAGAATATTCTTGCAGGGGATGTTCTTTTCGTTTATTCAGCAGCAGAACCACGCTGAGAAGATCATCTATAGACCGGTTTCGAGGTGTCACATCGCATCAATACAGGAAAGATCCGATACAAACAGCAGTGTGCCTAGGATTATTCAGTCTTCAGACTATGGAGTGTTGGTACATGAGATGTTTCCTTCTTGTTTTCGTGGCTCTGTTCACAAGATGGAGGCGTTATTAGTTAACAGTCTATCTCTTCCGAGACAGATCTTCCGGATCTGCATTGATGAGAGGCAATTCATACTTCAAAACCGGTCTACAAGAATAACCTCTGTGTAGGTACGTTGGGAGATATGTTTGTGTTTGTGCGTTTCCATTAAAAAGTGGACTTCACACCAAACTAGCTCCGCGAGAATCATCATCGTTCTTCGTCCGCCTTCTACAGCAGATAAGATTCACCACATGGGGATATTGTTATCCCGATACAGGAAACTTGATTTTTTATCCGCGATTATTGTTTCCGCAATAATTTAAATAAACAATGTCGAATATTTATGTTACTTGCTAGGCTGATGATATCCAATATCGTCAGGAACTCACCAAAAGCGCAACAGTTCATCTAGATCTAGATAAGGGAGGGATTCGTTCTCGATAAATGTTTATCTGGGGTTTTTTAATCTACCACCAGCTATGAGTACGGAGATAACAGGAACAAGTAAGTGAACCATAACGAAATGCTACAGAAAGTTTTGTTTTCACAGACTTCACTGTCATTTCACAATGAAATTTCATATATTTCAATTTTGTCCTCGTATGAAATCGAAGGTTATCGGGTGTCTTGATATGTGTCCAACGGACAGTTTTGTTGGGCATAGGACTTGTAAAAGGGCAACCCAAGACAGGGATTTCTGGCAAATTTTTCGGAGTGCTGGATTTGAAAAAGCTTTCTTTCGGATTAATATACTGAAACAATCAAAAACCTTCATACAAATGTATGATTTCTCTAAAGCCAATGTTACAAAAATGTTCTAACAAACCGAAGAATGTTTTAGCTGTTCATATTGAAAAAACACTTTAATGTGAGATTTTTCACTTGACAGTTTACAAAACCGCGACATGTGTTTCGCTATACAATTGCACCTTTAGTTGTCACAGTGAGTATTGTGACGCTATACGTTATAATGGGTCATCAAGCATAGATCAGGTCTATCATACTAGGGTGATCCCAGAAGTACCAGGTTTGACCCAGAGATGGCGGTAGTTGTTTGAAAAATATCACTGTATTAGAAAGTACACAATCTATAATATGTTTAAAGTTAGCAGTCGATGTGTTGTAAATTTATGTGAAATTATCAACGGCGAGTATTCTGCGAACTTATTGAAACGTTTGAGTGAAGAAATAAAGCAAAAACGGCCACATTTGGCTGAGAAAGAAGCGTTGTTTCATCAAGACAATGCTCCAGCTCACAAATACATTATCGCAATGATCAAAATTACCGAATTGAAGTTTGAATTGCTACGTCATGCACCCTATTCGCAAAATTTAGCCCCCTCGGATTATTTTCTCTTCCTAAAGTTGAAAAAATGGCTCAGTGGTCGAAGATTTTGCGATGATAAAGAAGTAATGTCGACAGTTGATGGCTATATTGAGGAGCAAGACAGTTCTTATTATAGAAACGGTATCGAACTTTTTGAACGTCTCTGCGGAAAGGGTATAGGAGACAAGGTATATAGGAGATTATGTTGAAAAAGAAATACATGTTTTTCCAAAATTTTTGTGTTTGCTTTGATGGGCCGGGTATTTGGCCCATCAAAGCAGTTGATGCAGCAGTTGAAGCAGTTGAAACATACAACCATTTGCCAGTGCGTTTTCTCATCTAGAAAGATCTTTCTCGTTCAATCTTCCGATAATGCCTTTCCTTATTTTTAAAATTGTTATTCTTGTTAACTTGTCAATTTAGAGTCATAGTTATTGTCTCAGGATCAATTTTACTCCCTATATATTGGATTCTTTATTATTTTTCCAATAAGTTGTTGAATATAATAAAAAAGAGAGTTGGAGACAATATGGCTCCCAGCGTTGATAGTAAAAGTATTCGAGAGATTTCCATCGACTACCACAGGAAACTGGAGAGCCATACACAAAAATGATTCGACAAGCCATAGTATCGAAGTTTGAGCAGCGAACCCTCATGCCACAGACTGTTAAAGGCCTTAGGCCTCCATGTCATTCCAAATATGGATGACATACGACAGAAGGTCGTCTGTTGATCTTTGTTTCCGAAAGCCATATTGATGATCGCAATTCCAACTCTTAGGACTATGATTAAGACAATGTTAACAATGCTCAAGTCTATAAAGGTACTTCTTCTCCATGTAATGTCCTACAAACAGCACATGCTGTTCACCTAGGTTTTTTTTCATTGATGAACATTATTATCAAGATGAAAAAAAAGCTAACGCTGTCATTTGTCACACGTAACTTGTCATAATTTTTAAGACTAAAATTATGCTGTATAAATTCACCTGTCCTAAATTTATGAAATTGACACAAGGACTATGATGTCCACGGTTTTTTTGCAAGCTTCTCGTACAAAAATGTCGGTATATCAGTTATTGTACTTTCAACATTGACTTTTTCATCTTCTAAGACTTCCATCGTAGAACTCCAACCGAATTTTGAAGTGTAACTTGGTAGTTTTTGTAGATATTAGTTCGAACAAACTTTTTTTAACGTTATTTGCTCATAGTCTTGGGAAAATTTTTGTTACGACCTATGTAAATGAGAACTTTCCATTGTCGATGTTTTTGTCAGATAAGCTATATCTAATCAAAATTTTATCGTCAAGAGATACTCGATTACGAACTTGAAGATACAGAAATTTCATGTCATGTCGCGTACAAATATTGAATGTTATTATTAACGATTGTTTTGTTTTAATTAGATCAATCGTTGTCGGTTACAGCAAGGTGGAATGTTTCGTGAAAGGTGGGTATCAATTTTCGTTGTAATCGATAATGACATGCTACGTCATTGAGCTCCCTTATTATTCTGTTTTGTCAGAATTATGCTGTGTATTACCACTTTTCGAAAAAAAAATATGAAAATTTACCCCATGACTGACTGAACTAATCTTAAAGACCTTCGTTCATCGAGATAACGAGGAACTTATCTTTCTATGTAAATGGTAAAATTTTGATTAGTTAGGATAATCATATATGAATCATTAGTGTATGTATTGGCCAATTCCATCATATATCATTAGTGTATGTATTCCCAAGAAAAATAACTTTCCTATCGGAAGTGATTTGTTCAGTGACAATACACGTCATAACCTTATCAAGACTGCGCTTTAAAAGAATTCAGAATGTGCAAGATTACGTTGTATCTTTTCGTGTAAATAACTCTCCAAATTTTGTAAATATATCAGATAACTTATGCAGTTACTCGGAAATAATGTTTCCGACAAATGAATATTTGTTTGATTTCAGTTATGATTTGTTGGGACAAAAACATTACCATAGTAAATAAAAATGAATGAGCTAAGATAAACATATCAAACTAGGTGTTGTTTTCTGTAAGATGGTGAGCGGATTTGGTGTGTGTATCCCTTAGTATACACCAGGAGTCTCAAAACTTTGAAGCCTTCGGGCCATAATGATTTTTTTCAGCTTGTTCCAAGAACCAATTTCTGCCCTTAACTATATTTCTAGACTAGGATAGTCGCAAAGTGCGTGACCTAAGCAAACTCACGCTTTTTTTGCAATTCAATTATTATTGTGTATTGTGACACTTAACGACATCTAGTGGCGAGTAGTGCTACTATGTATTCAAATCAAAATGTACTTTATTGTTGAAGATTAAATCTCATTGACAAAGTGTTATTATTCTAAGAAATATAAGATACACAACTTAAAAGATATTTATGATGTACTGTTTGGAACCTTTGGTGTAGTAATGAATATTACGGGAGTTTTTTCCCAACACCAAATCTTTATTTTTACACCTCGACACGTGTTTCGATCACCAAGTGATCATCTTCAAGAGGAAGATAAAACTGGTTTTATCTTCCTCTATATTCTAACTATATTTATTATTTTGATGCTCACGTCCTTGATTTTTCACATGATTATGCAACGTTAAATAGTGTTACCTATTATGTTCGATATGCGTGTCGCCTAATTGTGCTGCCCTGCTGATTGCTAGTGAAATACTCCGAGTTGTAATCACTTCGTATATTACAGTAACAACCCAATACATGATCACAATAACAAATGATATCAATCATTTTGAGAAAGCGAAGCATCTAATTTTTTCGAGGATCTTGCACAATTAACAATTTTTCCGTCTGTTCTAGGTCGATGGGCATCCTCCTTCCTCCCGTCACCCAGGTGACCACCGCCACGACCAACCACCTGACGACGCTCCACCACCGCAACCGCAGCCTCGACTCTGCCTTGCAGCGCATCCCCGAAGTCGACGTGACGCCCAGCCCGGAATGCGAGACCGTCACCGGCGTCTTGTGCGCGTCGTCGGAATCCCGACCGACGTCAACGTCTTCCAAGCAGCGTAACGACGAGCTCGCGAGCCTAGGCTCGGACGACTCGGGCATCATCTGCAATGGTTCGGACGCCGGATCGTCCTCCGACTCGAACGCGACGACGCGCGAGTCGAGCGTCGAGTACATCGACAACCTGACGCCGGGCAAGGACGAGGGTGTCGGTAGCGAGAAGGTCGCGCCCGAGAGGACGAAATCGGACTCTGACACGTCGTCCAAAGGGTTCGGTATGCTGAGGCTGCTCGAGAGCAAGGTGTTCGACGTTTCGATGGCGATGCACTACCTCTTCAACAGCAAGGAGCCTGGCGTGTTGTGCTACATCGTCAACAAGATGTTCAGTTTCGAGGACCACGACGTGGACTTTTATTTGCCGCAGCTGGTCTGCATGTATATCCAGATGCACGACGTCGCAGAGGTTATACATCGGTATCTTATTGAGAGGAAAAGAGGAAGTCCAGGGACACCCTGTATATTTCCCGACAACTGAGAGACCGTGGACGTACCAGTTTGGTTGAGTTTGCAGTGTCTACCTAACAGAATGGTTTTGGTTAGAGCCTAATGAGTTTTATCAAATGGTCGATTCCTTTTCTCTGCATGGTCCACAACAATGAAAAAAGTATGGGTCCGAGGTGGCAAGCATCAGCAAAAACTTCGACAGATCTTTTCATCGGAACTGTTAGTAAAGAATCAAGTTGCTGCTACAAATATTGATCCTACTCTATTTCTTCAGAGTAGTGAAGTGGAATCGGAAGAAGATGTACCAACTCGACGCGAAGGCTCGAAAAATAATGCATCTCCAGCGGAGTTTGCGTGCCAAATTGTTCGTTCATATACATCCCCCAACAGCAAGGAGGTTGTGGAACTTTGAGGCCTACATTAAAGTCCCATTTTGAGAAGCTGCTCTATACTCCTTCGGCTACACAAGGATAAGTCGGTGCGTGGAGCATCCTTTCTAGCACTAATATAGACCTGTTTTAAATATGTTTGAATTTGTTTTAAAATCTGTATTTCCGTTAATCAGCTGTCGCCCCCATACGAACGACAACTCTCAGAAGTTGAGAAACTTGTGCGAGCTAAAGACTAACGAGGTCTTACCTTTTAATCGCGCCCGAGAGGACGAAATCGGACTCTGACACGTCGTCCAAAGGGTTCGGTATGCTGAGGCTGCTCGAGAGCAAGGTGTTCGACGTTTCGATGGCGATGCACTACCTCTTCAACAGCAAGGAGCCTGGCGTGTTGTGCTACATCGTCAACAAGATGTTCAGTTTCGAGGACCACGACGTGGACTTTTATTTGCCGCAGCTGGTCTGCATGTATATCCAGATGCACGACGTCGCAGAGGTTATACATCGGTATCTTATTCACAGGTGAGTTTATGGGGTGTGTGGGGTGTAACTGAACCTACGGCATTTATCAGTTGCTTGTAGACACAAAGAGCACTAGACAGTTTACGGGTGATACTCTAACTCAGAGTTGCCAACCGTAGCGGAATTCACTCGTCGGTAGCGGCGTAGCGGATTTAAACATAAAGTAGCGGGAAATTCTACAAATAATCAATATTGAAGAAAATATGGAAGAAGAAGAGGCAATGGGCAGCACTCGAAGCTGACAGCTGACAATTGAATAACTGAATGCACAGTCAATACGTTATAGTCTTAGTAGCTGAGGCCATTACATGATAAAAGAGAAGAAGAATATTTTTGAAAATTTTCATTCATATCATAAACCATTTAACCTCCAATATCTAGAAACTAAAAGTCTCGACTGTCTCGAGTAGGTATTGTAAATTACAGTGGAAATGGAAGATAGTTCATCTGATTGTAGCTCGAGCGAAAAAGCTACCGCAGTTGAAATTGACGGGATTGGGACATGTTCAAAAAACTACAGAAAGTCTCGAAAACAAACTTTTTCCCAACATTGGTTGTCTGACTCCAATTTGAAAGGATGGATTAGACCTGTCGCGAATGATTGTTCAAGAACTCAGTACGTGAACAAATTGATATTTATGTTTCCTTTTCAAAATCAATATTTCAAGCTAAGAAATATTTGGTCGAGACATTTTTCAAAAATTAACTGCTGTAAATTCAGAAAATTAGGTACTATCTACTGAGTTACGCGGTTGAAAATTAGCATGATCCTGATTCCTGACATTAGTGACAGTTCAGTTTTGTGGTATCTGAATGGTACACAAACTACAAGCTAAGTTCTGTGGTATTTAATTTTATATAGGGCGCATTCACAAACTGATTGCGTCAGATATACCAGCGTAGCGGAATATGAAGCAGTGTAGCGGAATTTTGGTTCATGTGTAGCGACTTTATAGTTCATCCAGTTGGCAACACTCTCACTTGCCCAACTTGATCAGTATCTAATGTGAGGACAACTAGACCGCTTCTTCCGTTGTCTCATTGCTTAAAAAAAAAAGCGATTTATTTCCAACAGGAGTACCCAGTTACAGGAAATGCTATTATTACAGAGTATATATGGAATAAATATTAAAAATAATGGAATATAGAAATGTATAAAAGTAAATGCTAAAACAAAGTATATATAAAATATTCGTATACGTAGAATTTCAAAAGAGGAATGAAAAATTGAGTATATAACACAAAAAGTTACAAATCATGCAATGTAGCAGTACTGACACAAATGTTATTTATAGTATTATTAAAAGTGATTGTGGATACAAGATACCAAGGCGTTCAGAGAGTCGAAATGAATATCGCAGTGTTCACAGATTTTATTGAAGCTACTGCACATAAAATTCAATGGTGATCGTAGCATAACATTTGTGCGTGATGCTTCGCAATAGAATTTCAGATTGTGTCGACCTTCACTTCTTGGTACTAAGAAATTGATCTCGGGTAAAAGAACCGTACTGTCAATATTGTTGTTTAGTAATTTATGCAGGAATTTTATACCAAGGATAACTCTCCTATTTTCCAAAGATATCATATCAAATCGTGTCAACAAAATGTTATGATCGATGCCTCTCGTGGGGTATTGACCATCAACTTTTAGACATAAGTATTTTAGAAACTTCCTTTATACGCTCTCAATCGATGTTTTTTGGTAGTCGTAAACTGGATTCCATAACACAGAGCCATACTCTGACTTAGATCTGACATACGCAAAATATAGCAATTTTAAGGTGGCAATACTTTTGAAGTTCTTGCCATTTCTGTAAATGAATCCAAGCATCCTATTTGCATCAGCAGTCATATTCCTTATGTGTTATAAATGTTAATTTACTGTCGTATGTACCAAGATCTTTTATCTCATGTACGCGGTTGATTGTAGATTTGTTGATTGAATAATCGTACATTAAAGTTCGCTTTTTTGTTGTAAATGATATCATTTTACATTTGGATACGTTCAGTTATAGACGATTATCATTACACCAAAGTTTGATAACATCTAATTCATGTTGTACACGTTGGCAGTCAGCAATGTCGTCGATTTTATAATATAGCTTCAGGTCGTCTGCAAATAGTAGGCTAGGAATATTCAAAGAGACTGCCAAGTCATTAATAAAAATTAAAAATAAAAGAGGTCCAAGATTGGAACCTTGTGGTACCCCAGATGTAACTACGTACTGGGCCGATTTGAAAGATTCGTATTCGACGAATTGTTTTCTGTTGATTAGATATGATTCAATTAGAGTGAGCAGTTGGTTAGAGAGTCCCAATTTTGTCAATTTGCTGAAAAGAACGTAATGGTCTAATTGATCGAAGGCTTTTTGATGTCTACCGCAGCCGTAGACGAAACTTCAGACATAAAAACCTGCAGACCACGGCCAACACACCCGAAAAATAGCTTCGCGCGTTATGGGAAAGTTGTAATTGAAAAGAGTAGAGTTGAAGAGAAATAAATATTCAGATTCAGTTGATACGGAATTATTTGAACTGAAGAAGAGAAGTGAAAAATTATTTTTTTATGTTTCTTATTTAACTTAATTCCTGCCATATGTTAGGAGTCACACGTTAAAAGGCAAGACCTCGTTAATCTTTAGCTCGCACAAGTTTCGACTTCTGAGGGTTGTCGTTCGTAGGGGTGCGACAGCTGGTTAACGGAAAAACAGATTTTAAACAGATATTTGATAATATTTTTACAAGAAAGTTCAGTTTAATTGGTATCTGGACGTGATTAAGATAATTTATTAAGAGACCAACTGCCGATTGACGACCAGATACAAGCTGCTGCTTCAAAATGGCTGCTACCACCTGTCTGTGCAGGTGTTTAGGTAAATTGTAATCACATGTTCCAGTATCAATTTTTTCATCCTATAAAAGCTACCATGTAATTATGAACTGATAATTACCTTGAATCGAGACATCGCGAAATGATTCCGTTCTGGGTAAGCGAGTAAGTTCAGGAATGGAAAATTGCAAAAGTAGTTCTTTGTCAAAATGGCTCCCACTTGTAGTACCTCTAGTTTTTAGGAGACTCCATATAATTTTATTAAATATAAGTGAACGAGAAAACATTTCTAAATAATAATTTAGACACAAGTTGAATTCGTTTTGCACTCGAGATAATTCATTGCATGTTTTGGAAATCTAATTATTCAAAAATCAAAATAGATAAAAGACGGTGACAAAAGTGGCACCCACGACCTGATGACTTCGACAATTGCGGAACTAGTCAAAAGTTACACCCATGCTCAATCTCTAAAGAGATGGGATGAAATCAAAGGATGTAATCTTGCCAGGATCACCTTGGGCGACCCTGGGAAGCTGGCGCCGAAGAAATATCTGGCGTGTCTAAAGTTATAATTGCTATAATGAGTAGCATAAGGAGTAGAAGCAAAGTTGAACATCAATTTATGTTTATAAATGAGGCAAACCGTCTGTAGGATAAAAATTGCGATGACTGTTGAAATTTTATTGGCAGTGAACCAGTTCCTGCACGATTCTTTGGGTTTGACTTTACAGAGACATCTTAGTGCCCTCTTCTGTATTATCCATACAGAAGAGAGAAGGATGAGTTGCATGCTCCTCAAAAAGGTATTCCATAACGTAGTCAAGATTCAATAAGTGCATGGTAACCGGTCTTTGCGACATGGAAACTCAATTCATTTGAAACCACTCTTAACTGCATAATATCCGGAGGAGATCTTACTCTTGAGTTGTTTAAGGTGGTCATCAAATTTCAGCCTATCATCAATGAATACACCGAGAAATTTTGTGTTTAATTTATTTTGTAATGTGGCAGCGTCCAATGAAATTTCATCAAGCGAACATTTGAATGATATATTCGTTTCGGATGCATTGAGAGAGAGTAAATTTGCCGCGCACCAGCTCTTCACCTTCATCAAGTCGGATGATATTATTTTACTGAGCCCCACTGTGTTTTTTCCTTTCCACAAAATTGTAGTATCATCCGCGAATAGAGTGAAACTACCAGAGATAGAGATGTCATTCATGTATAGCAGAAATAGAATAGGGCTCAACACATAACCCTGTGGTACACCAGATTCATTGTCCCTGTTCTCCGAGAGTTCCGTTGTCTTCACCATTTGACTCAGACCTGAAAGGTACGATTGCAAACAATTGTTCGTTACACCTCTACATCCATATTTATGAAGTTTTTTAGTAAAATTTTATGATTGACGCAATCAATCGCCTTTGAAATATCGCAAATAATTGCGGCAGCTACTTCACCAGCATTCATTTCAGAGTAAATTTCATATAAATATAGTTTTAAAAAACTAAAAAACACGCTTTTAAAGAACATCAAACTAAAAAGTTCAGTATCACTTATAATTCTTGAAACATTTTTTTTATTTTGATTTTCTTTTGAACAACCTTTCAAGGTTACGTACAGCGTCATCTGCCCGCGAATAGATCAAGAAATATAAAGAGTTACGTACAGCGTCATCTGTCCGCGAATAGATCAAGCAATAATGCCGATAATTCTGTCAATACAAATCCCGAGCTTGAGAGTTACAAACAAACATACATACATACAGGTGAAGCTAATATAAAGCGTGTAATGTAATAAAAAAGAGAAGATAGCATCATTTGTATCTTATTCCGCCTGAAACCCAAACTGGTTTTTGTTTATAATACAGTGCAGTTTTGAGAATTCATCTAAAACTGGAATCTTTGGCGTAGAATAAATCCATTGGAGCCGAGCATAATATTTTGAGTTTCCGATGCCAAATAATTCATATTCAATAACATCTTCCCGTGCAACATAAATGATTAACGTTATTTTTTTCCACAGGTGTAGGAAGTCCATAGACTTCTCCCTGAAGTGTGCCTGGCTACTGGACGCTTTCAGTTCCGACGCCTCTCTACCCACGAAAAAGAAACCACACGGCGTCAAACTGCGAAACCTCATCCTTTCCGACGAACTCCGGCCGAAGAATCAATCGATGATGACTACGTCGTTGAACCTGTCATCGTCCAACAACGAAAAGCTGTCGGTGCCGTCGATGGTGAAAAAATCGCATCAACGTTCTCAGAGCGACGCTTCCGCTCTACTGCCTGGCCTGAAGGGGAACGCGTCTAACGCGACGAAACTCTGCCTCGGTGATTTGAGTTCGGGCAGAGCCTTCGACAACGGCTGCGTCTGCTTCGATAGCTGTCAGAGCGTGGTGAACGATCTTAGGGGAGAAAAGACTGAATGCACTTGCTCGGTAGGTACCGCACGGGTCCGTGCTTGGCCTCTCATTCTCTTCTATCTTCAATCTTGATGCGATATCCCACTTCTGACACCAAATTTGAATTAGCAACCAGGATATCTATGGAAACCAAAAAGTTATATTCATTCAGCTAAATAGCTTTGTAAATTCGTTCAAAAATTTATATTTCCCTCTAGTGAAAATCCGTTGAGTCATTCATTTTTTTTCAATCCAGGCGCCAAGATTGAGACCCGAGCTAGAGTTTCTACAAGCTCTCATTACTATTGGCAAACTACTTAGTTCCATACCAACGAAGGAAGCGAAAACCACTCGGCTCACTGCCGAACTCACTACCTTGAATCTGAACCTCCCTGCAAGGGTGTGGCTACCCCTGCACAGCCAGAACCCCCATTTCATCGTCCGTATACCTCCTCAGGTGGCAGCCGTTCTCAACTCTAAAGACAAGGTAGGAAAAATACGAATGACAAACATTACCACACTATAAATGAATGTATTATTATTTTTAATGTTGGAAACTATTGAAAAATGTATATTTACATGAATACAGGGTATTTCAATAATGCTAGTATGTCGGGTGTGAGTACTAGTCAACCTTTTCCACACCTTGAAATATCAATTTGTCTTCGATGAATGCCCTGTATTCGAGAAATTTTCATCGTGATTGCAAAGTGTCATTATTTAGGCGCCCTACATAATTTACCTCGAAGCAGTTGAAGTGGATGATATCGAGAGTTCGCCTGTGCCAATGAAGGTTATGCCAACCCTGAGGCATACGAAATCTGAGGAGAATTTGAAGCACGAATCCACTTCCTTGTCAGCTTTTAGTGTTTGCGGGGGTTGCTATGACGATATGGATCCCGATTGGAGTCAAGAGGATGACGAAATTTCCCAGCAGGTGAGATGATTCTGGATTTATTTCTCAAAAAACGAAACGAATCACGGTTTTCTTCCTCTTCATTTTCAAAAAATGAGCAACCATTGAAAATAAAATGATCCTATTTGCAAACTGGAGCAAAACAGGAGGTTGAAAGTTCCAAGAAGTAAAGAATGATTATTCCGGCATAAAGACAAATGGCAAATAGTACTATTAGTATTTGCTATCCTCTACGTGAATCTGGTTTAGTCAAATGGATTTGAAAATTCAGTAAGAAAATATATTTCTGTGTTGAAACAGTAATTGCTGTAATAACAAGGAACCTAAAACAATAAGTTTTAATTAACTCCAATGTATTTGAATCACAATCAAGTCATGAGACAAGGAACACCAAATAAAGCTCTGCCTATTTTGTTCTTAGGAGACAGTTCTTAAAGGCACAAGTTTACCAAAATTTGCAACTTATGTTTTCTTGAGACATTATTTTAATATAAGCATTACTGTTCACATTTATATACATCTAAGTATATATCTGTAAAGTACTACTCATTAGAGTAATTCTTATTGTAATTTGATGTTGCCCATTAACTAGAATAAATTTTTGAGACCCTTTCTCCTTATATTTCATCGTCTGTTCTGTTTTGGTCAGAGCCATATGGAACTGGCAATACAGCAATAGCTAGACCAGGCAACAGAAGACCAATCAAAAACCAAGAATACACTGGTAGCCTTTCAATCCTTTTAATTGGAGTTTATCCCTTCAATTTCATTTTTCTTGTCTAATCTTCCTCTATGTATTCCTTCACTATGCGATGAAGTCATCTTAGACGACCATTTCTGGTTATATTTCATTCTCTTCTCTTCTGTGGTCGAGGCCACAGAACTGGCAACAGAGCAATAGCTAGACCAGGCTGCAGAAGACCAATAAAGAACCGAGGATGCACTGGTAGTCTTTAAAATCCTTTTAAAATGGTATACGAATTCATCCGTCTAATCTTCCTCTCTGTATTTCTTCTTCTCCGTGATAGTCTTCTTAGAAATTTTTGTTAGGTTGTTAGTGTTCATGATGAGCCTTTCGAAACTGCCTTACTTTGCTCATTGGGGCTACTAAATATGGACGACTAGACCTTAGCATCTGGGTCCAGATACTTTTTATTATTGATGAACTTTTTTTTACTTTGAAAAACGTGCAATTCTCTGTCAACAGTACATTCAACTGAAGAAACCCGTGGATCGAGACACAATTTCGCAAATGAGTCAAGAATCGAGCGAGTCTAGAGAGCCTTCGATTCCTGCGAGCGAGATACGGAGGCGATTGTCGGACTTCTTCCGTGAGGAAAAAAGCAAAAAGTTCACCCACGATCCGGAAGATCCATCAGCGGCTGTGCTGAAGGAGCCATGGGAGGTATACTCACTCGACGTGTTATTATGAACCCTTGCTTGAACATTTTGTGTTTCAGGATAAGGAACAGCGTATCAGGGAGAGTTCACCTTATGGATATTTATCGTCATGGAGGTTGTTATCGGCGATAGTGAAATGCGGAGACGATCTTCGACAAGAGTTGATGGCGTCTCAGTTGTTGGAAACTTTCCAGAAAATCTGGGAGATGGAGCATGTTCCACTGTGGGTTCATCCATACAGGTAATCTTTAAACAATTGTAGTTTCTTGAGACTGAATAAATGTTTATTAATATTAAATCATGAGTGGAGTCATGATCGAAATGGTATCACTACTTCTCTTAAGTTTTTTGTAATGTAATGAAAGGTCAAACAAAGGTCGAGAAGTGAAGATCATATTGTCAAATACAGGCCCCAGCATTGATCCTTGCATTGAAGCGATTAAACCCTCAAGGCTACAAGATCATTTGAATAAAATGCATTCAGATAAAAAAGACAAAAGTGTGACTCATTTTCAAGAACTGGAAAAGAAACGCTCAGCTCAGCCAACTGTGTCAAAACTTTTTTCAGCTGCTTCTAAGCAAGACAATATCTCCTTGCTAATTGCTCAAACAGGTAAACCTCACACTATTGGAGAGGATTAAATTTTACCGACATGAAAAGAAGTTATAATTACTGTGCTCCATAAACTAGTGGCAGATATTATCCGAAAAATTCCTTTAAGCAATAGTTCCCTGCAAAGACGAATTGATGAAATGGCTGAAACACATTGAAGAGTCATTGTACAATCATCTGAAGACTTCTAAATTCACAATTCAGTTGGATGAGTCCACTTTACCAACCAATGAAGCATTGTTGTTATTGTCATACGTGAGGTTTATTAGAACTACTATTTGCCAGAAATTTAGAGACGGATACAAAAGAAGAAACTATATATACACTGGAAAAATTTTGTGATGAGAAAGAAATTCCACTGAAGAACATCATGTCAGCTGCTACAGATGGCGCTCCTGCTATGGCAGGACGTCACAAAGGCTTCATAGCGTACTTAAAAAATAAAATTCACGATGTAGTCGCTGTACATTGCGTCATTCATAGGCAACATTTGGTTGCGAAAAATTTGAGTGAGCGCCTCTCTCAATCACTGCAATATATCATCAAAGCTGTCAATAAAATCCAAAACAGCTCTTTAAATGACAGATTATTTAATCAGCTTTGTGTTGCTAATGATGAAAATTTCAGCCGATTGCTATTTCACACAGAAGTGTGTGGGTTATCAAGAGGTAACTGTCTGACTCGATTTTACAATCTATTTGACTCTGTAATAGAGTTCTTGGAAAACAAAGACAAATAATTGCACGACAACCTCATCACTTCAAAGAGTGATATTGCGTACTAGACAGACCTGTATGAATTATTTAATGATGTCAATTTCCAACTTCAAGGTGACGACTTGAATTTGATTAAAACAAAAAATGTCATTGCTACTTTTGTAGCCAAATTGCTCTTATACAGGAGTAATATCGCCCCCAGTAATATCGGCAGACTCACGTCTGCCGATATTGCTGGGGGCGCTAGAAAATAATTGATTCTCGAAGTGGGCGGTAGACAAAATAAGTTTGAGAACAGGTAGATGGAATTGAGTTATGACATCTGATACTACAGACTCTGTGTCACTATTTTTTTAAAATTCGTATTGCTCATTGTATGAAAAATTTGACATTTCAAGATATTGACACAATCTAGAATGTGCTAAAGTCTCAATATTGTTAGATAATGATTTGGAAAATTTGTTAAAAAGTAGCGTGAACCGGAATAACGAAATTTCACCTTGATACCTTGCAAAAACAATATTTTTTCTATGTTCCTCTATTTTTACAATAATGTTTTTCATAAAATTACTTCATTGAAGTTTCATATTCTGTTCATACAGTCAACTTGTCCAAGTTGATCTCCCTTTTTTTTTCTAATACCTGGCTTTCTCGGTGGGTCGGTAGCCAAGCGGTTCGGCGTGGGTGCTTTGTTCACTCACTCGAATTGACTGCCGTGTTGGTCGGTGGTTCAAGCCCTAGTCTGAACGATCGATCTTCACTTGCTATCGTCCAACCCGTGTTAGGAATCACACGTTAAAAGGTAAGACCTCGTTAATCCTTAGCTCGCACAAGTTTAGACTTCTGAGGGTTGTCGTTCGTAGGGGTGCGACAGCTGGTTAACGGAAAAACAGATTTTTCTTAAAACAGATTTCTCTCAGGACTCACCATTTTACGAGTATTTCTTTTCCTTTCAGGATATTATGTTTATCAGATGATAGTGGCCTTATAGAACCGATCTTGAACACCGTGTCTTTACACCAAGTCAAAAGGCACTGTGAGTTGTCCCTACTCCAGTATTTCATCAAGGAATTCGGTCCGATGACTTCTGAAGGGTTCCTTACGGCGCAGAAGAATTTCGTCCAGAGTTGTGCAGCCTACTGCCTCATCTGTTACCTCATACAAGTAAAAGACAGGTAGTTTATTTTTCATTTGCAGTGTCTTGAGGGTTAATTTCGTGAATATTTTTCCAGGCATAACGGCAATATACTTCTGCGCAGCGACGGCCATTTGATACACATAGATTTCGGATTCATCCTGTCTACGTCGCCGAAGAATTTGGGTTTTGAGAAGTCACCGTTCAAGTTAACCCCGGAATTCGTAGAGATAATGGGAGGCGAGAGTTCTGATATGTTCGAGTACTTCAAAATCCTGATTTTGCAAGGGCTGATTGCTGCTAGGAAACACCATGGAATGATTGTTGCTCTTGTGGAAATAATGAGATCAGGTGAGTTAACCTATTCAAAACGTTAAATAGGTTTTTTCGGAAAGAACGTTTTTGGCTTTCTACTACTCCATCTTGATACAAAAAAAATGTGGGAATCTTCCAAAGAAAGGAAGGAAGTAATCAATTTGAAAATAAATAATGCTTTACATGGATGTGTAGATCATGCAAAGAAGCAACTTTCAGATACAAACTAGAATAAAGCCCTCCTAAAACAGCTACTTTCATATAAACATTGAATTACAAGAAAGAAAAAAATTATTTTGAAACAAATACTTGTATATGAACACTGAATTATACAGAAGATTCTTTTCTCTACGCAGTTTGTATTTCAAACATTCGTTATGGAATAAAATCGGATATCATTCACAAGAGTCCTACTTTAAATGAATGGTAACAAATTGCACTTCATGGAACACTGTCATTCTCACTGGTAGACATTACTATTCTCATACCATCGCAGTTACATCGGGTGTTCCACAAGGTTCACATTTGGGACCTCTGTTGTTTAACCTTTATCAACGATCTAATCAGCTGTTTCCATGAAAGCGAAGCTTTGCAATTTGCTGACGATTTAAAATGTTTCAAAATAATTAAAAGTGAAGCTGATGCATTGTGTCTACAAAACGATATAGACTGCCTATCTAACTGGTGTTCGCAAAATGGAATGTGTATAAATAATCGGACCTTACATTCTGCTATTGAAACCAAAGATCTAGGTGTGATCCTAGACTCCACACTTAGCTATAAATCACACATTTCCGCTGTAATTCAAAAATCTATGAAGATGCTTTGCTGTATAAAGAGAACCACTCGCGATTTCACCAACATCACTGCTATTAAATCTCTTTATTTTTCCCTGGTTAGATCTCATCTCGATTATTGTGAGTGAAACTGGAGGTCGTACAGCTCAATTTCCTGCGATATATTGCCTTCAAGATGCGTGTATACTATGACTATACTGCATTGGAATGCATTTTGAACATATCTTCTCTTGAGACTCGCAGAACTCATAGAGATTTAATGCTTCTATTCAAAATATCAACGGACTGAGTATCAGTCCTGAGCTTCTCTCCAAAATATCTTTACATATCCCCAGTCGTTCAGCTAGACAGGTGCAAACGTTTTACGTTTCTTTTCACAGATTTAATTATTCATATAACAGCTTTATTCCCAGAACTCTTCGATTGGCTAACTCTTTAAATAACCTTCAAATCTTTAACATATCAGTTTCCCGCTTTAAAAACCATATTCTTCACTTAGCCATCTAATACTCTCTGCTTATGTTGTTGTATTGTGTCCAGTGTCACTTGCCTGTAAGAATTATATTGGTTCATATTGATATACATTTTAATTTTTTTCCTAAATAATCTACTTGTTATCTCACTTCGGAATTGTATTATTCATATAATTTACTCGATGTAATACACTGTATTGCATATTGCATGTATATGCCATTTACACAAAACTTGTTGAATATTTAGAAGTCAATGATATTTTGAGTCCACATCAATTTGGCTTCAGAAGAGGGAAATCAACCTCTGATGCAATCAACTCTCTCACAAATTACATAAAAGATGCATTTGACAATAAAGATAAATATATTGGTGTATTCATTGATCTCACTTCGGCTTTTTATATTCCCATAAAATTTTGGATATGCTGCACCCTCCGTCAGAGTATTCGATTCTACCCACCTAAATTATTATCATATGGAATTTCAACTAAATTTTACGTAGGAGGAGCATTTTTCTTCGTCAGACACATTTTTTTTTATTTTCACAGGCTCTCAGCTTCCCTGCTTCAAATCTGGAGCGTCCACAGTCCAGAACTTGAAGAACCGCTTCCACATGAGCATGACCGAAGAGCAGCTCAGACTCGAAGTAAACCGGATGGTAGAGGGCAGCATACATTCGCTTTCCACGAAACTTTACGACGGTTTTCAGTACTTCACCAACGGGATCCTCTAACTGTGCCTCCGGCCTTCTTCGGAGGTGTATTAGACATGAGTGTACAGTGTCTTCTGCAGTTTCTCGACTGACATACTTTTACCGTTTTTTAAATGCTCAAAGTTTAAGTCATCATCTTTCTAACAAATCGTAGGTGGATCGAAAAAGTGAAGTGTGGAGTGTCGAGTGAAGTTACTGATTTGGACGTATTCCTTTGGCGACAGCTAACTTCACCGGCAGACTAGTGAAATACGACTGTGTACATAATTTTTAAATAAAAAGTGTATCATATTTTACTTATTAAGTGCATAAAATACTCAAGTCAATTTTTCAATTGAGGAAACTTTGGAGGCCAAAAAGCGTTGTAAAAAGTGACGATTCTTTTCTATGTATGTATTCTAATGATTTTGAAATTATCAAATATATATTTATTTCTATTTCATCATTTTAGTGATTGATACAGAAGGAAATCATTGTCATGTTTGTCTGAATGAGATTTATTGATATTACGAAAAAATTATAAGCATTCCAAAAAAAAGTGGATGAACTGTTTCTATTCGAAAGTGTTTGTGGAATTTTGAAGAATATATTTATTGAAATTACTGCCATTATAAGAAATTATCTTTGACTGGCGCTAAAAAATGAGACAAAACCAATAAATATGGCCATTGGACGGTTTTTCAAGGGGAAAACTTGAATTTCCCACGTTTAAAACTTGTATTTTCGACTTGGAATTCAGAATTGACTAGTTGCGATTTTTATCTCCGAATTCTGAATTTGATTTCATGATTTGGATGTTGAATACTTTGAATTTTAACTTTGGAATTCGAAATTTCGACTTTAAATTTAGAAATTAACAAATTCCTACTTTCATTTTGATATTACAACTTCAAATTCGTAATTTGGGTTTTCAACTCAAAATTCCATCTTTGAAACCATGAATTTTTATTGAAAATCTCGCAAATTGACTAATTGCGATTTTTATCTCCAATTTCTGAATTTCATTTCATAATCTGGGTATTAAAACTTGAAATTCTAACTTTAAAACTCAAAATTTCGACTTCAGATTTAGAAATTCCTAATTTGAGTTTTCAACTTGAAATTCCTATCTTTAAAACCGTGAATTTTTACTCAAAAACTAGCAAATTTCACCTTGAAACGTGAAATTCCTACTTTTAAAAATTACAATTTCGTCTTTAAATTTTAGGAACAGACAAATTCCGAGTTTCATTTTGAAATTGCAACTTTAAATTCGTAATTTGGGTTTTCAGCTTGAAATTCTGTTTTTAAAAGTGTGAATTTTGTCTCAAAAATTCGCAAATTTGACTTTGAAATAACAGACATTCACACCTTAAAACTGAAAATTTAGAGTTTACATTCCGAATTCTATAGCTTCAGTTAGATATGGTTAGTTGAACTTGCAATTCTGATTCTAAACTAATTTTAAATTGAAGCTGATCTAACAAAATTTCAAGTTCAATACTGAAAATTGAAATATTAATCTTTTTATTAAACTATACTGTTATTATCCCTCTAGTTCAACATACTCAATTTCGTAAAAATAAAAAACTATACTGAGAGGTTTGAAATGGTGGCCTAGGTAACATATCATATGTCTCAGACGTCGATTGAAAAACACTATCCTGGCTACTACCCAAACTGTTATTTGCTGTTGAGTGGTTCAATTTTCCCATTTTGTTGACCTGCTGGACGCTGTTTTTTGGTTTTTTGATGATTTGTAGATATCACAACAACGGAATTGTTCCTATGTTCACCGTCTATAGCTAAAGTCACTTTTGTAGCTTTTTAACAGAATAATCCTGTAGGACATTTATTCATCATATTCGATATGTTTCAAAGTTACACTCTCTTCAAAAAAATCCTGAATTCCCGTGTCTTTCATTTCATGGTCTTTGTCTCATTTTAAGTGTTTCGATGTCACCCTAATAAATTGAAATACATTGCGGTTGAAGAAGTTGAATTTACACAGAAAATTAGATTATTGTTATTTGTGGAATGGCTTATTAACAAAATTGAATGAATTCATTCACAAGTTATATAATCGAGAAAAAAATAATTGGGAGAGAGACAAATTTATTGTACAGAAATCTCTTATTCGTAAATGAATGGACTGTATATATTCCTGTAATCCATAAATTATTAGCAGAATATTAAGTATAATTGAACAAACAGTGTTGTCCATCCATTTTCTAAAGAAAAACTAAATGAAGCGAAAGAAAATCATTCAGAAGGGTTGATATAAAGGAGTCTTAAGAGTGGGTATTTCTGAAGATTAGGACGGACTGGTTTTTTTATTTTTACCATCATTTGAGCTTATTACAAATTATACCTGAACAATATCAATGTTCACCTTGTGCTCTGAAAATAACAATTTTTGCTACAATGTGATGTGTTTTGTTCAAGACCATAACTTTGAGACACGCCCCCTTAACCTTGGTTGAATTTTAAGAAAACGGACTGTATTGATATATTCAAATTTTATATAGATTTTTTTATGTCCAAATTTTCTCATGCGAAAGTTGGATAGCTTTAATGACTTATTATAAATGAGTAGTTGGAATGGTTTTTCAAAGTCCTTATTCATCAAAATATTGAAAAGTTCCATCATAATGATAATACATTCATCTTGAATAAATACAAAAACTATACCTACTACATCAAACATGCAGGAACTATTTATAATATTTTTTACTTTAAAAATACACCTGTGCCTAGCGCTACTCTAATATCTTGGTAACAAGTTATATTTTGGTATTTGTGAGAAAAAAAGTCTACGTAAGATGTACAGTCAAAGAGTTCAATTTTTTTAATTGAAACTCGGAATAAACCTTTCTGGATGATTTTTCTCTGATACATTTATTAGATATCAATTTGACTGAATCATATGGAGTTTTCCAACAGCAGTTGTTCACTAGCAACAAATATTGTTCGCATTGAGAGAAATTTCTTATCTACATTGAGGGTTTGACAAACTACTCCCATCAACTTGCAAAGAGACTGATGTCATAGTAGACATTTTGCAGTTTCGAATCATGCTGTGTATCAATTTCGTTATGTCGCTAGAGAAATCAAAGTTGTTAATTTGTTAGCTTTTTCGATGATTACATTTTTCAATATAAGGTCTATGTTTTATCGAGAGATTTTTAATATACAATTGTATTTTATTATTCATAAATTGTATTTAATAATAATAAACAATTATTTATCAATTGAGTTTTATTGAGTTGGTTATTGTGTTTGCGAGTTTGGATTTATGTCTATATAAATTGACAATACTTTGTCATAGAAGGAATTTTCTTTCATAATTTTTTTGGATCATTATAGTTAGGCACAATATTATATTTTTAATATCTGAAATTATTGTTAAGTAACTCCTTATGAAACTTGGATTAAGTGAGGAAGTCTACAATGATTTAAAAGAATATGACTTAGTACAAATGTAATTCTCGATTAATACACTAATAAGTTTCAATGAGGAATGTCAAATAACTGTTTTTTTTACTATTTATAATTAAAACATTGGTTAAATTTCTCTAAGCTGAGGCCATTGTGTGAAAGAAGACGATTTCCTAAACTCACCGATAAATCCCATGAATTCATTTATTGTTCCATTCGAATTTCGAAATTTACTGTTGAATTCAATAACTATAATTTGTTGTGAAACTAATGGATGTATAGAACAATTCAATAATAGTACACTAAATTCTCAGAAATATTGCATTAAAACGAAAACATTGCTTTCATCATAATTTTTCCTCATTTGTTTAATATAATTTTCGGACGCCACTGCAAAAGACAGATGTCATTAATGATAAATTTAATGACAGATGTCATTAATGATAAATTAATGACAGATGTGATTTTTGATAATTCCGAATTACAAAAGTGTCTGGAGAACATAAACGCCTCACATAAAAATATAAGATAGCAAGTATGGGAAATCAATACAAAATACAGTAATTGATTACAATTTATTCATCGCGCAATGCAAAAATTTGTCCTTTTTTATACTTTCATTTACACTAACACAGCTACTTTGGAAAATTTTCAATATGTGATTTATATTTCCTTCCACCAATATATTCGTAAAGTGGGGAAGGTTTCAGTGAAATGCTACAATCAAAGTATTATATTCTAAACAAATTTGCAAATTTGTTAGTTGTCAATGACGTACTGTTGTGATCCATTGGTCTGCTCATGCGAAGTGACTGTGGGCTGCAATACTCGTAATATTACTTGAAATGCAAAGGAAATTTCCTGAATGAATGGAAATGAATTTTGCACACAGAATGTTGGAAAAACTAAACTATGTGTAAACATACACTTCTTTCAATAGTTCCAATTTTCGCCACAGATAGTGATACCCTTAACGGATGTTTTGAGAACTACTAATGTCAATCTACCAAAAGCTCCAAGGTCAATAGCGGATATAAATGTTACAAACGAACACCGCTGAAATCATAACAGATAACAGCTGTTTTCCTTCAAATATTTTTAGGTTATCAGTTTCAAATTTCTCATGGAATTTGAACTAAATAACATCGATACTGATACGAGAGACCATAACATCATGGAAAAGGAAGACGAATTTTTGCATACATATTTCAATCAAGTTTCTCAATTGTGTTACGAAAAAGCGAAAGAACATGTTGTAAATATTTTCTGCTGGTTCCCCACTCAACTCCATATTAACGGATTTTTCTCTTAGGAAAAAGCAAAAGAGCCCAAAGGAGTCGCTACGCCTTGGAATACATTTTTGCACCATTTGCAGCAACTCATCATAGCCGAAAAGAGCTACATCGAGATAGGATTTTTACAAAACAAGCATAAAAGTTTTCTCAGAAAAGATGTATGTAGTATATACACTATGTTCATTTAAAAACCACACACCTCCAATATTTCACAGCCAGAACATCAAAAACAACCGAAACAGATTAATTTTTGTTAAGAGGGGTTACATCATGATGCCAAGAGATGTTTGTTAAGTTCCTGTACTTATTTTTTATTTGCAGATAATAAGGTATAAACTTTGTTACAAATGTCTCAAGAGTAGTCAGCTGCTTTGTATTTTTTCCTAAGGAACCATAATCTAGTATAAAAATACCACCACTAACACTTTTGCCTTGTGATGTTTTAAACCTTCAACAGTTTAGCTGTTTTGAATGGGATTCCATTCTGTTTTGAAGATCTACACCCTCATTTGAATTCAAGATAAGTATCAGGGCTGTATTCAGTGACTTGCCAAAGGTTTTTGGCTGTGTGAATCATGGAATACTGTTGCGAAAGGTTTAGCATTTCGTGATTGGAGATGATAGTCGTAGCTGGTTTTATTCATATTCGTATTATCTAAGAATTTGCATCAACCTAAAAAAATCGCGAATCGAATGCACAAGGCCCGGCAAATGGAACAATTCACCTTATTTTTTCGAAAGTCCTTATATTTTGATTGATTGGAATATTGGGGGTGGAGTGTTTTTTAAATAAATACACCACATGAAAAATTAATCTAAACTCATTCTAGAACTCGTTGCGATCAGTGTATGAAACTATGAGGAACGACTTCAAGAAACTAGAAGATAATTCTAAGCCAGCTGTTGGGGATAATAGAGTCCACAGAGGATGTATCAATATAATCCAATTCCTCAATGCAAGGATAAGTCTAATTGAAATGTATCCCTTTTTTATAGCATTATTCAATTTTAAAGTGCCTATGTTATTATTTTCCAATTTACAACCAGATATGAGAAAATCTACGGCATGACTTCCAATAAACATTTCCAGTATAACGAAATAGCAAGTCACATCGAATCGGTCATTCAGACTCATTTGGAAGGTTTCTCAGACATCAGCATGACTCCGATTAAAGCTGTTTTTTGCTTGGAGGGTGAAATATTGGAAAAGCTCTTCAAAGCTTTGAGTGAACTCCAAAAATTGCAATTCTTATCGTCACTCACTTTGATACATGCTGCACACACAAGACTCATTGCGTGGGAGAACAAAATTCAACCGCGGGAGGTGACATATTGAGTTTTTTCCTTTGTTCTAGTAGTACTGAAGGTTTTTCAGGTGTGGAAATTGGGGATATTCAAAAATAATCCAGTGCCAGCTCTTTTTCAATGGATACAAAAACTGAAAAGTGCAGTGCTGAGCAAATTCAGCTTGTACTTCCACGACATCTTAGCAAAACAAACTACCTCGAGTGACATGAAGTACTTGTGCTCAAAATTACAACAAGACTATTATCAAAAGTGAGTTATTTTCCAGCACAAATTCTCTGGAAATTTCTGTTGAATTTTTTGTGTGCTTGCAGGATGATAGCGTTTCTCAAAAAATATGACGCGTCCTCAGTGATCCTCATGTCCGATAACGAAGTCAATTGTGATATAACCGATTATGAAAGTTTTCCAATAATTGTATCCTATCCTCCGGTAAGTTATAACAGTTCATTAGTAGCTTAGACATAACTTAGACCTATGAAATTATTTCTTTTATTAGGTCATTTTAAATTCTCATTGCAGCGCAACATTCCTCGGCACAACATGGTTCTGAAAATGGTATATGAAACCTCCCATGAATTAACAAGCGGAGATAAAATAATCTATAAGTTCAGTTCGCAGGTGAGATTTATTGCAGCTTTGTTATTTTATTATCAATCCTCAAAACCCTGTATATATGTATGTATATATATGTTAGATTTCTTCAACTCTACAAATTGGTGGTACGGAAATGGTTAAATGTTTATACAAAAAAAAAACGGATCTAAAATGTTTTGGGCGTGTTCACAAAATTATTATTTTTTTGTGTCTTCGGCATCAACAACTATGGCCAGTAGCCTTGTGTTCTGGGTAGGTTACGATAATAACTCCCCAAACCACCAAGGAACAGACTAGTAAGTCATGTAACTTAGACGAATCAATCATCCTTCAACTCACGACCTTTGAATCGAGAATTGGGCACACTGTAGCAGCAAGTGAGCCATCGCTAAGTACATCGATCTTGTTCCCCATTGCTGACAATTTCTTGCCACTTCTGTCCTGTAGAATGCAGTTGTTATTGGCAAGTTTAAGATTTTGTTACTGTGGTAATATTGAGCCAGTGGTAAGCTACCAATTGGCCCAGTAAAGAACAGATGATAGTAATGACTCAAAGAAATGATGATAGTACTGACTCAAAAATAGGGGAGAATAGTATTATTTACTCTCCATGATAATACTTCTTACTTAATTTCCATTCCAACACCTACTCTAGCCCTACAAAATTCTATTATTTTCAATAGTAAGAAGTAATTTAATCACCTTCCCATTAATTTAAAGCGAATATATAATGAAAAGAAATTCAGAAAGGAAGTAAAAGAATTCCTTGTTGGGAGGCTCTATTATAGTGTGGATGAATTCTACCAAGGAGTAATTGGCATGTAGCTTTGTGTAAACAAGTTACTGAAATCAACACGAAATGGTTATCAATGTTCATTACATAGCATTATATATTTACATTTACTCAATATTCATATATTCATGTACTTATATTTGTATCTATTCAGCTGGGCTTAATATTGTTCTGTCCATATACCCTGCTCTTGTCTCTAAGCATTATTTTATAATTTATATTTGTTAATTGTCCCATATACACGTTCCACTTTACTAGACTTTGCCAATGAGATGTTCAGATCTTGGGTAATAAAGCATATTTTGATTTGATTTGACTACATCCATGAATTTAGTAATTTTTTGAAGGTACCTTCATTTGAAATTCTGAATAAGAATTAACAAAAGTCTGATATTCCATAAAACCTTTTGACGGTGATGTATTAAGTCTATTTTGTAATTTTTTGTTTCAGGAACAATCTACGTGCATTCTGACGACAGTTGAGCCTAACATATACCTAGTCATAGTTTTCGAGAGTAAGAAGACAGAAAAAGATACTTTTATAAATAATTTTATAGTTGATCTGTGTACTAACTTGAATTGTACAAAAATATTAAGCAGCCTTAAAAGTCCTTCAAAATAAAGTTCTCATTGTTGTATTTGTTTCTCTCTTTGTCAAAATCGAATTAAGGTGAAATCAGAGCGATGAAAACTGTAAAGAAAGAAAATTGATTTCTTTTTAAGCGGTTTGAAGTCAGTATATGAGATTTGCCTCACTATTGATGAGAGCTGGTTTCTGTCTCTAGACATTTTTGTAGTAGTAGTATTTATTGGCCATATTTGCATACAGAGTACAATTGGCAGGTCAAAAAGTCGCAAACAGTCATGAGAATATAAAAATTTCACGTTACATAGATAAAAATTTAAAAAAATTACAGGGTGGGCCATCGAAAACTTGACATGGAAGTTTTGGGTACTAATCTTGCAAATCCTAAAAAACGCTCAGGCAGGTCAAGTTTTATTGGGAGAGGGATAGTTTTTTCCCCATTCACAGTGTCGTCACTTCAAACCCGGAACAGAGAGGTCAACAACCCTTGGAATTTTAATAGGGAATAGGGGACGAGTTTGCACATCGTTTGAAAGATCTCTAAATAATGGTGTACATTTTTGAAAATTTTGACGTATTTAAAAGAGTTCTTTCCGACAATTAACTTAATCGCCACAATTGTCTCTATTGGGCTGACTCCAATCCTCACATTTTTCATGGAGTGCATACTCACAAAAATTAAATGTATGGGCTGGAATTTTTGGTGACTGTATTGATGGCACATTGTTTTTAGATATTATTGAAAATAACGCACTATGTTCTGCCTATTCGGCAGTATTTAGATCAGACTTTTCCGAATCACTGGATTGGGAGGCGGGGCACTATTGAATGGCCACCACGAACACCAGACCTTTCGCCGTTAGATTTCTTTCTGTGGGGTCATTTGAAAAGCAAAATTTACTGTACTTCTCCTGCATCACTCGAAGATTTACGGCAACGAATTAAAAATGAATGTCGCCAAATCACTCCAGAAATGTTCCACAATGTTCGAGAACTTTTCCAGCAGAATCTCTTTTATTGCATGGGAGCTGGAGGTGCCCATTTTGAGCATATGCTAACGTGAGAATAAAGTAAGTAACCTCATTTCTAAATTTAATATAGTTCATCCAAATTTAAAAAAATGTACACCGTTCTTTAGAGAATTCCAAGATCTTTCAAAAGATGAGCGACTCGCCCCCAGTTCCCTATTAAAATTCCAAGGGTTGTTCACCCTTCTGCTCCGGGGTTGAAGTGACGCCGCTGTAAATGGGGAAAAAACTGTTCCTCTCCCAATAAAAATCGACCTGTCTGAGTGTTTTTTCGGATTTGCAAGATTGGTACCTAACATCTCCATGTCAAGTTTTCGATGGCCCACCCTGTATATGTATTTACAAATTAAAAAACTTACTAGGCGCACATTGAGTGTTTGGATTCCAATGCCAGAAATTCCTCTATTGAATAACAACTACTTTCCAGGAGGTATTTTTGTTGCATTTTTAAAGTTGTTATCCTTTATATACAGGGTGTAACTGAATAAGTGTAAAACATTTAAGGAGGTGGATCTTCCTCTTGAAGATGATCACTTGGTGATCGAAACACGTGTCGAGATGTAAAAATAACGATTTGGTGTTGGGAAAAAACTTCAGTAATATTTATTTCACTCACTGTACTTTGTTTTATGTCTATATGTTTTTTGACTTGTCCTATAGCTGTATTTGCTCGAATGGATAAATAAAGAATTGAATTGAATTGAATTGTCTTACTTATCTTTCTTTAAAGGAAAAGTTATNTTGCAGCTGGATTTAATGAAATAAGTGTTATTCTATGGCGTACAAATCATGCATTTATTAACTGCAATAATACTGGAAGATAATTCAAGGATTATTGTATTTTACTTCAGAATTACTTTCAGAATTCAAGTTCCAAAGTGAGAAATTATTGTTTTTGTTGTTGAATAATGTATTAAAATATAAATCATGTTTCGAGATCGTATATACAGAAATTAATGGCTTGGAAAAATATTTTCACTAGCTTTCCTCAGTAAAATCATTAATGTATCACAACAAGTCCATGTTCACCTCTTTGTACACATAAATATTTCTCCTCGATGAACACGGATACGAACTAACATCATTCAGAAATCTCAAGCTTGGTCACCTGAACGTCCTTCCTGACTGAGAGACTAATCAGTGTCCTCTCCCGCGATCATACCTCTACCAGCCACTTCAGTCGAGTAATCCGTTCTGTTTACAGTAATCGCTGAACTCCGCCTTGTGCTGGACCTTCACGTAGGACTCTAGCCCCGGTATGAGATACTTCAAGTGAGATTTACTTCTGAAAATAGTCTCTAGGCTCTCAGTTAAAGTAGTTACGTTACCGGTGTCCTTGTAAACCTTAAGAGCTAGTGTGAAATTTTTGAATGATGATTCGTCCAGAGATTTTTTAACCTGCAACGTCCAAAGTAGAGAGTAGATAGTAAATGAAAAGCGTGATTAGTACCATGATTATGTACTCCTTGGTTGTGGTATTGTTTACGTTGGACTGGGTGGCAACGTTGGGGATCAGGTTTATTTTCATTCGTTTGGAAGCATGTTGATGGCTCGGTTGCAGTCTTTTGTGAATTGTAACTTCTCCATTGTTGCTGAAACTCTCCGAGGAACTCGAAGCGATGGAACTAGTACTGAAGTCGAATTTGTCTCCTTTGTAAGTCTTGGGAACCTCGAATTCCGCTGAGGGGGCAGCAGAACTGGGACGCCTTTGGAGCGAACCAAACTGAAAAAGATATTACAGATACAACAATACGCAAGATAAATCAGTCGGAACACATACATCGGCGTCTGCTTTTTTGAAGAACATTCTCAGATCTCTCATCAATTCTCCGAAGTTGGGGACGTGTTTTATGCGATTTCTGAGCCACAGTGACATTTGACCTTTGATTTTCGCGTTATTGAATCTTGCGTCTAGTAACAGTATTGCTCCGTAATCGTCTTTGTGTCTTATTACTCGACCGATGGCCTGATTCACAGCTCTGCTTGCTTCTAAACTGTACCATTCATCGCCTCTCAAGAACTAAAAAGAATAAAATGTTCAATTTTTGCTTATTTTATTCACAGGATGTTTGTTTTATAACTACGGCATGAAACTTTAGAGCAGTGGTCGCCAACCTGTCGATCGCGAGCTACCGGTAGCTCGCGATCGACAGGTTGGCGACCACTGCTTTAGAGGGTGATATTTGATTTTATTAGTCAATATAGATGTCTTCGATGGCGATTCAATGATTATAGCGGTCATGCAATTAGTACAATTTGTCTTTAGCCACAAAATAGGCCAGTTTCGACATTTACCTCTTTATCGGCGCTGGATTTTTTCCAGCGAGCATGCTTTTGAGGTCTTAGCATTATTTTATAGTTTATATTTGTTTGTCTGGAGAATACGGTGGATGCGGAAACAACTCGAAGCCCAACTCATGCAATTTTGTCATAGTTTTCATTGATTTGTGGCACGTTACATTGTCTTCATGAAACAGTACTTTCTCTTTCTGATCTCACCAAGCTCAATATTTCTGGGAAGTTCACCTCATTTGCAGATGACACTACCGTACTTTAGAATAATAAAAACACTTGTGAGTTGCACAAAATAATCTCTGCCAACTTGAAAAAAGTTAAGGATTGATGTAATATACTTTGGAATAATTAAAACACTTGTAAGTTGCACAAAATAATCTATGCCGACTTCAAAAATGCGTTCCTTTCAAATCTTTAGGACCTAAACTATTTCCATCAACTCCACTTTGAGGTCATCCAAAACGTCTGAGTGTTTGTCAGAGTGTGTGTGTGAGAATAAGTGCGCGCGTCCGTATGCGTGTGCGCGCGCGTACGTGCGCGTGCGTATGTGTATGAGACTTCCTTGGGCGAAATCCAAATTGCTGATTATGAAGTACTAAGCATGGTGTTAGGTGTTGAGTAATAAGAAAATCTAAGTCTTTGGGTATGCTACTTTTGATACAGATTGCTCTGCAGTTTGTAATATTTGTTTAATAAAATGATCAAGAATAATATGTAAACGTCGTGCTACAACAAAGCTACAGTGGGTGCTTCAATAATGATGGAGGAATAATCTTTCAATTGCGTTTTATTTTATACTTTATTAGGTTAGAACGAATGATAACATTACCTCTCTGTCTGTGGCATTACAAACATCCAAATAACGCTTTTTCAAAATCACTCTGGGATCTTTGAGAGGAGGATAGGGTAGGCCAGTAATGATCACAGCTCTTCCGTTAGCGTCTGCAAAATCTAAACCTTCAGAAACTTTGCCTCGACACACTCCCATAAAAATCGCTCCCTTCAAGTTAGGATCGTTAACTTTCTCGTAGTAGTTGGTCATCGCGCTGTTGAATGAATCCTTGTCTCTGGGTTCCACATAAATGGCCTGAAAAGTTAATAAGGATCTCGATATTTTCTCATATACACTGAAAAGCATTTATTACTCAACTTCCAAAAATTCTGTTGTGTGATTTGAGGATGAGGTGGCTATACATTAAAATTCAGAAGTCTTTTTTACTGAACATGACCAATATTTTATGAGAAAAGCGTTACCAAGTTGACCTATTGAATACTTGACGAAAATCCATATCAAAACTTACTTATACGATTTATTTTAGTAATAATAATAAATTCGTCAATCCCAAGAAACATTACATGTTTATAGCAGGGACAATGTAACACAATAGTGAAGAAAAAAAACCACTGAGAATAATACAACAAATAAAATGAAAGTCTGTTTCGTCGCTTTGAGAACTGCGTATCTCCGGATGCTGATTCAGCATTGGCAATCAAAAACATTGAATGATAATATTCCCAATTTCTGAATTAATTACAGTATTTTGAAAACAGCAAAGAAATTACTCGTTATCTAATGCGAGTCTTACTTTACCTTCTGAGCATTGATGTCACTCCAAAGTCCACATTCCTGCCAGTGCTGTTGGCATTTCAGCATAATGGGATAGGACGGAAAAAATATCAGCAACCCATTGGGAATCACCCTAGTGAGATTCAATATTGATCTTCCCAAAGAACTAATATACTTTATATTTTCTCTGAAAAAAAAAACATCCTTGCAACCACAGTAGAAATTGGTTAAGGCTTTTGCGGCCGAGGTATTCAGTGTCACTATTTTTCAGTTTGGAAGGCCGTCGGTTTTTGGAATTTCTGTTGTATTCGTAGAAATCTTCATTTATGAAAAACAAATCCCTATTTTTGAACAAGTGGAGGGCTGTACAGATCAGAATTTAAAATCTTCTGAAGATTTCTCGACAAGAATAGTCTTTTTTCATACCAGCAATACACCTAATGATTTGTTTCTGTGGTACGAGGACGTTATTCGACAGTGTAGAGTCTCCCCATAGGCAAATACCATACCTCAGTCGACTTCCCACTTGTGAGTAGTATAAGTTTATTATTTGTTGCTGTGTCAAAACACCTTTGAGATTTCTGAACATATAGTGGAGGGATGAAAGTTTGGAAATCAGTAGCTTGCAATGTTCCTTCCAATCTAAATGTGAGTCAACGAATAGTCCTAAGAATTTACAGCTGTTATTTATAGGCAGAGGTGTGTTATTTAAAATTATATCTACATCTACCAGTTCCCTCTGAGGACTATGGAAATTCACAAGGTTAGTTTTGTCTGCATTAAAATAAAGAGTGATTTGATTGAACCACGAAGTTAGTTGGCATAGAGCAGTTTCACAAGTTTCTTTTACTTCTATTTGATTTTTGTTGGAAATCAGTAGAGGAGTGTCGTCTGCATAAATAGTCATCTCAATATCCGGAAAGGAATTCGCGATTTCATTTATGTACAAAATAAAAAGAACTGGGCCCAAAATAGATCCTTGTGGAACACCTATATTAATATCGGTATTGGCAGATGAAACATTAAGAATTACATTATTTTGATGATGTTTCAGACTCACATACTGAGAACTACATCTAATAAATGATTCTAACCATTCCAGACAAACACCTCTAATACCACAGTTATACAACTTTGATAAAAGAATTCGTGGTCCACACAGTCGAAAGCTCGACTCAGGTCACAGAAAATGCCTATTGGGACCTCTCCTTGTTCTATATGGTTTATGAGATTATCATAGAACTCATAGATTGGGCTAGTTGTTGATTTACCAGGTAGAAAACCGTGCTGACTATTTGTCAAAATATTATGCTCATTAATAAAATTCATCAGCCTGTCCAAAAATCCATATTCGAAAAACTACTGCAAATCGTTATGGGTCTATAATTTTCCAAGTAATCGGGACAGTGTTTTTTATGAATAGGAATGACTTTTCCTTTCTTGAGGGTTGTGGGAAATTTTCCTGTTTCGAATTAAAGATTCAATAAAAATGTCAAAGGTCCTATTATAACATTCATGACTTTTTTTTCATCTTGACCTGCAAATGTTGCATTTTTCAGCCTATCACTGGGCAGATTAAATGATTCATTAGGTGAAAATGGTCTGAGAAATAAAGAAGGTATAAGAATCGCTTGGGTATTGTTTACTGCAGTAATTGACTGGGTGATCTTTTTTTTTTTTTTAATATACTTTATTGTCTGAAGAATAAATTCTTATTGACAAAGCCTTGTGCGAAATATAAATAACATATACATGAAATCACAAAAGTAAAATCACTAAAAGTAGGTTATAACATGAACTGAAAAGAGACATGTAAATAATAACAAACGTTCAGGATATAAGAACATGGTCAACAAAATGTAAATAAATCAATTTAAACTAAATTGAATGAAATGAAATCAATAAAATACCGTAGATATTACAGTTAGTCTTCTCAATTAAAATTATCATCATAGAATTCTGCTAAGCTATAATAAGGTCTCCCAGAGAGCAAGTCTTTCAACTCTTTCTTAAGAGCTCTAAGGTCATTTATGGTTCTTATAGCTTGAGGAAGGTGATTGAACATTTTAAGACCGTTGTAAATAATGGAATCTTTAACTAGCGACGAAGAAGGCAGCGGTAATTTAAAGCTGAATCTTTGCCTGGTTTGATACATTGGCGCGTCCAAGTTGTTAAACAATACCCTATTTTTGAAGACAAGGCAGATTGTCTCGTATATAAATAGGGAGACCACAGTTAGGATTTTGTTAGAGGCAAAAAGAGGTCGACAAGAGTCCCTAGGCTTGGCTTTGCATATGCATCGTATTGCACGTTTTTGTATTAGTAATACTGATTGAAGGCATGTGGTAGAACACACACCCCAAAAGCAAATACCATAACGGAGGTGTGGTTCAAAAAGGGAATGATAAACCATTCTGGCTTCTGCAGATCCGAGCTCAAATGCAGTTACTCGTATGGCATAACATCCAGAGGAGAGCTTCGATTTCAAAGTATCTACATGATTGTTGAATTTTAAACTATTGTGAATGAACAAGCCAAGGAATTTAGAAGCTGGTACGTTATCTATTTGAATATTATTTAGATGTACGGCTGGAATCTGGCAACGATAGGACACTACTTTTGTTTTTGATAAATTCAAGCTCAAGAGATTTGAGTCAAACCAGTCCTTCACTATCGTGATGTCATTCTATCGGGACATTTAAAAAAAAATATTGAACAGATCTGATACAATAACTGGGTTTTCCACTTTTGGTGTAGTTTGGTGGTAGTTTGATGTGATAATACCTGTACCAGGACAAGCTGAATTGTCAATAACATTTCCTCGTGGGGAAAAACAACATTAAAACAGTTTTCAAACCCACCCAGCAGGAGTATACATCGGAACCACCGAAATATCCATGGGTAATAAGGGTGTAGAGCACGAAAGAACCCAAAAAATAGTGACACTGTGTTAATTTTTAACGATATATTTTTGTAGGGTAAGGGTACGTCTCAAAATCCTACCTGTTGTAGTAACTACAATTCAATGGTTCCGAGTCCGGTCCAGCCGTAACGATTTTGACGCAAACTTGGTCGTCTGTCACAATATGGGGGTTTTCCAGTCGTACTCCAACATTCACTTCCAATTCAGATATAAGAGGTTTCAAAGGCGCCAGAGTACCACTTGTTAGTATCAAAGATCGCATTCCACTAGCCATCAGCATGTTCATCCTACAAATTAGTAGGTTACCGCTGTATCTGATTTGTCTGATAGTATTGACTGGAATGATTACAGAATCCACGAAATAATATTAAGAAAATGGCTGCACTTTGGTTATTGGGACTGCGGCATATCTATCAAAATGGGGGGATGAGAGGAACAGACTGGTAGGGGTTTTAGAGCGAGGAAATAATTATCAAAATGGGCACCAGTGGCGCTATTAGTATTTAGTCCTTATGATTTTCAATTATCCCTAACCTTTGAAAGACATGTGTACAAATTTCACAGCTGTTGGACTACTAGCTTGTGGAATAAAACATTAAGAGTAAAGCATATTTTGTTAATTTGAAGAGAATACAAAAAAAAAATTAAAACATCCTCTAGAAACCTGCGCTCACTACATTGTATCAGAAAATTCACAAATGAAACATTTTTCTGGAACTATTTCAATGATTACAAAAAAGTCTATCAATCCACTATCAGTCTAGCTAAGAGGATATATTACGGCAACAGAATGGGGGAATCGAAGAATGAAATTAAAGCAACTTGGTCAATTATTAGTGATATAAGAGGTAAAACAAAAAAGAAAAACTCTGAACTCTCACTTAATGCTAATATAATAAATGAGTTCTACTGTTCTATTGCTAAACAGTTGAGTAACACAATTCATGCTTCATGTGATCCATTGATCAACTTAAAAAATATAAAAATTCATGAAAGTCTTATTTTATTTGACACTGACCTTAATGGATTGTTCATAACACTTTTCATGACATTAAAAACAAAAACACGGCCGGATATGATGATATTTCCGTTAAGATTCTTTTGAATTTACCTGGCTCATTTCCTTCTTCCCTGAAAACTTCCGTTGTCATTCCACTACTTAAAGGTGGTGATTTAGATTATCCCTCCAATCTACGTCCTATTTCCTTAATACCGACTTTAGCAAAAATTATTGAGAAATTAATCAAAGTACGTTTAGATGAATTCTTAAAACTGCACTGTATTATAAGCAAAAACCAGTTTGGGTTTCA